CTGTGTAGAAATGGTCTGACTGGTCGCTGTTACTGGGAGGTCGAGTGGAGAGGAAAAGTTGATATATCAGTGAGTTACAAAAGAATCAGAAGGAAAGGAGAGCTACTAGATATTAATTACTGTTTGTTTGGGTGTAATGATCAGTCCTGGAGTCTGGAATGCTCTGCTGGTGGTCCTCATTGTGTCTGGCACAATAACAAGCAAATTCTTGTTCCCATCTCCTCCTCCTCCTCTGTCTCTAACAGAGTAGCAGTGTATGTGGACTGTCCTGCTGGCACTCTGTCCTTCTACAGAGTCTCCTCTGACACTCTGATCCACCTCCACACCTTCAACACCACATTCACTGAACCTCTTTATCCTGGGTTTCGATTAGGGTACAGCTACACTGGTTACCTCTTTTCTGGTTCGTCAGTGTCCCTGTGCTGAGTTGAGTGTAAAGAGTGTCCTCCTGTTAGAGAAACAGTGTGACTGTTGAACAGATAGTTCAGTCTGTTCATGTCTGTCTCTTACACTCAGAAACACGTTTTCAGATTCATGAATTCAATCAGTTGATGTTTTAAACTGTTCTAAATGATTACTTGTAAACTTCTTCCTCTTCAGTCCTTTAAAGATTGAAGCTAACATTATTCCAGGATCCACATGTTGTTTTTCTGTCTTTTTCCACTCAAAGCTTCACAGTGAAAATCAGTATGTTGTGTTTCACTGAAGCTCAGTTCACAACCCTGCATTTTCAACAAGTCTAAGCTCACTATCATGTAATGATTTTTCTTGATTATACTAGGTATGGGTTAATTGGCTTTAAGACATGCTGCTTTATTCAATTTATACACATATCAACGTTTTAACTGAAAGTAGGTCTGAGAGGGTTGATTTTCTACATGTCAAAGTTGCCCATCAGTGTTGGTCAAGTTACTTGAAAAATGTAATTAGTTACTAATTACTTGTCCAAGAAAGAGAAACAGTCTGACTGTTGACTGTTGAACTGACTGTTGACTGTTAATCACAGAAGAAATTTGCTTAACATTTAAATCTATTTTCTGCATATTCCAGCATATAAAATAAAATGTTTTGTTTTTACAGTCACTGCTTCATATAGATGTAAGTAAAACACAGCAAAAAATAAATAAAATCAAAGATTCAG